ATTGGCAGTATTTATTATCCTATTGTGTTGTCTATTCAGCAATTAAATAAATAAATATGTTTGATGGGAGTAGACAACGGAAGAGTAAAAGCAAAACTTCTTGTGGTATACGGTTGGGTTCAAAAGTTTGTAACCCATGGTTAATTTTTTTATTGAATAAATGTTTTTTTTTTTTTTTCACCAGACATATTATTTAGGCTATACCAATATTTAAAGCAGTTATATTGGCTGTAAAAAAAAATCTAAATTAAATAAAAATGCTTTTGTACCCCAATGTTTAATAATAGGAATAATAATTAACACTTCAAAATAATAATCCATTATCAACATAAATATATTGTACAACATTTATTATAATTCAACATTTATTAATGTATTATTAAAAATCTTTTCTTTACAGTTCTTCACTTTGAGTGATTAAAGCAACAGTGACATTTTATATTAACTAATGCTGACAAGGATGAATAAATACCGTGGTAATTGTATTGTTCATTGTATGTTCATCTGAGCAAATAATGGATCATTAAGTCAGCCTATATATTTCTTTTTTTAATTTAATCAACAATGAATTTTTTCGCCAACTGCTGGGTTTGCCTGTATTTGACCCAGCGTTTGATCAATGCACCCCCGCATTTTATAGAGTGTATGACATCTAAGAACACGTCACCTCACATTTCTCGAACTAGCGCTGCCTTCATTTTTGCTGGCGTGTGATTTAATTCGGTGTCAATGAGACTGCAGGAAATGTTTTTTGAGTAACAGAGCTGTTAATTGAACATCTTTGTCCGTCAGTCCCTCCCTCTGAACGTCTGTCCGAGCACATTAATGCAGCTCTGCTCCTCTGAAGGTGTCTGGAGCTCACTGGAACTCATATTGTCCGAGTCTGAGCGAAAGTTTTCACTCCTGTTTCTCTCGGCGACACGTGCAGCTGTAGCTCCGCCAACATCTGCACGGTAAGTTCACTCTCATTTCTGCTGGATATTGGCTCGTAGCTGAATGTTCATTCTCTGTTATGTTTCATTTCGTCTCACTATGATTTGAGCGTGTTGAATCGAGGGATTTCGTCTTGTTTTCCGCATGGCGCTGCACGGCCTGTGCTTTCATTCATCCGTGCATGCATTGCTAGTCGCCCACTCTTCATGAACGTATGGAACTATTATATATATATATATATAAAATACAGGAAGCGATTTGTTGTTGTAACTCATTGTTGGATCAAATGTGGACAAGCCCAACACTTATGTTTAAAACGTGTCATTTAAATTAATTGTTTTGTTATCATAGAAGCACGAGGACCTGCAGGCCTTGTACGTATTTATTTATTTATTTATTTATATATATATATATATATATATATATATATATATATATATATATATATATATATATATATATATATATATATATATATATATATA